CAGCATGGGTGATCTCCTGAGTGCCAGAATGTTGGGCCAGGTCTGTGTCCAGGAGCCGACTGAACTCTGATGGTATAAGAAGATAGTGTCTGAGTCTGATAAATCAGGCAGACCCATATATACTCTGGGAAGAGATGACAGGGTGTGGTGTACCAGCTTATAACTTAGTATTCTAATACTCTTCATTGTATTCATTGAAATTTATTATGCCTATTTTCATTCTCAGTGCTGGTAGATACATGGCTCTCATTATTTCAACATCCATATTCTTTATAATTAAGTAGAATCTGTTCATATTCCTAACCAGACCTAAATGTCAAATTGAGGTATCCTCCAACAGGATTAGAGACCCACTTTTTTGATATTTGAGATCAATACAAGTTTGTGATTGTAATTTGGAATCACTGATCAATGCTGGACTTTCTAGTGCACAACAATCAAAAATCCTTTTGCTGAAAGCATTTTTCTGACTTAATCTGCATTTAGAGGGTAATTAATTTCACTTGTTGTCCCTAAATGATTAGCACAGTTTCTGCAGGTCACAGGATCAGTCGAAGGAACTATGAGCAATACTGAACAAAAAGCCCAAGCTGTGTCCTGTTATATTAATGAATCCAACACTGGTATTCATGCCCTTGGTATAACAGACTGGCTGACATTCAACCACTTCCAGTACTTATGGTAGTTCTAGTCAAAAGGTGTACAAAAGCCTCTTCAACCAGATTTTTTGAATAAGAAAACAAAGTGTAATATATGGCATGGGCTCTGGAATCAGAAAAATCTGATTTAATGTCACCTTACATTAATTTGTGTAAACTTGGGCAAGTTATTTATCTCTGAGATGCTTATCTGTAAAATGACAGTATTAATACTACCTGGCTCTGTAGCTCATTGAACTGCTTTAGAGATTGAGATAACTGTATGTAAAGCATTCAGAAGAGCACATGGTCAGTTAATTGCTATCATTCTTGTCCCTATTTTAATTCAGGCCGCTCCAGCCTACAGCTACTGTGAGATCACATCCACAGGAATCACCTGTGTTTTACTGGGACGCATCTCCTCTTGATAATACAAAGTGCTCCACAGATTTCCCCTGGAAATTCGTAAGGGAATGTTGCCTGTACTCATGACCAAGTGCCATGTACTACAGTGCGGTCTCCATCATGTTCTTCCTCTCCTGCTTGGTGCCCTGAGTAATGGCGAAGGTCCATGAGTTGATAGTACTGTCAGTGCAGCTGGTAAGAATGCTCATGTCTGAACCTACACTGTTGCTTTCTCATATTCTCAAAGCGTCACTTCACTAAAGACCCAGTGATGCCACACTCCATCACCAGGAGAAGGGTGATCAAGTACCAGCCATCCACAGCTTCTTGTGTGAACAATTTTTTCAACTAGTATGTGCAACCCCAGCCTCAACAGAGTTCAACTATGAATTTATGCATTGAGCCAAGGTAACGATTTCTGAAAGAAACCCTAGGCCATCCTTCACCCTCATTCCCATTCCAAATTCCTTTCGCCAATTTCCCCCAAATCAATATGCCAATAAACCTTTATAGCAGTGATCACTGGAAGACAGTATAGTTCAGTTGTTAAAAGCAAAGGATCGGAGTCAGACTGTTAAGTTTAAGGGGGAAATGACAATTCCTCTGTGCCTCAGAGGATTTTTGGGGTTTTTTTTTCAACAATAAAATTGATAAAATAATAGAGCCTAATTAACATAAAAATTTTAGGGGCCTAAATAAGATGAAATATCCAAAGTACTTTAGCATGGTGCCTAGTACATAGTATTGGCTCAATAAATGGTGGAAATAGACATTAGCTGTTATTCCATTTCTGATAGTCACATTTTATGGACTGAATGTTTGTGTTCCCCACAAAATTAAAATTTTGAAATCTAATACCCAGTGTGATGGTATTTGGAGGTTGGCCTTTGGGAAGTAATTAGGTCACAACAATGCAGTCCTCATGAATGGGATTAGTCCCCTTATACAAAGAGGCCAGAGAGCTAGCTTGCCCTCCATCTACTACATGAGGACACAAATTGGCCATCTGCAACCTGGAAGAGGTCTCTCACTGGAACCTAATCATGCTGACACCCCATCTCCAAATTCCCAGTCCCCAAAATTATGAAAAATAAATGTTTTTCATTGAAGCCACTCAGCCTATGGCATTTTGTCGTAGCAGCGCAAATTGACTGAGACACCACAGTTTAAGACAAAAATAAGACTTCTTCCACAATCTAACAGAATCACAAATGTTTCCATTCCCATGGGGTTTTTTCCCCTTTTAATATTTACTATGTGCTCAATAGCTATTGAAATAAAAATCTCTGAAATTATGAGAAAATTATATGGAACTTTGTTTTTCAAAACCAATTACCAATTATATCCTAAGTAAGGTTAAAACATCAGATATGCAAAAGATGCATTCTTCATTTTACATAAACTTGCCACCCAAGCAGATTAGTTGAAAACTGTGACACACTGATACCATTACAGTTTTATAACCATTGTTCTCTAGAATTATTTCCTTGTTGAAAAAGTGAAACACAAAAGACATTCACATAAATACGTATTAAAGCAGCTCAATGCATACAATAACATTTATATATCACCTAATAATATAAAATGTTATTTCACTTTTGTAATCTAATTTAATCCTTACGGCAACCATGTAAGGAGAACACAGCAGATACCGTGCCTATGTTATAAAGAAACTAACGCTCAGAGAGAGGTAGGTAAATGATACTAGTCACACAGCTGGCTACGGTGAAGCTAGCACTTGAATCTAAGACTTTCCAAATCTTGTACCAAGCCTGTTTACTGTGACCTTGTTGGTTAAAACTAAGTGTTTGCTTTCCTTAATTTTGCTAGATATGTACTTTGGTATGTCAGTCCACTACCCTCCAATTCTTCCCAATTCACTTACTGGACATGTAAAAAGAATCCATTCTACCATGTATTACAGTATGATGCCAAGTATCATCAAGATTCCTTCCCCTTTCTGACCTCTTTCGAGTTGCTCACCTAGGAAAGACTGTGGACAAAGAGAATCCAGAAAGCAGTTTAGGAAGGAGTCAGGAACCATGAATCACCGTCACTGAGTTCCCTTGACACAGGCTGCCCTCAGTTTTCTGAGGCTCTGGGGGACCTGTGGAAAAACATAAAATTGAAGAACTAGGCATAATTTCAGACTGTGATTTCTTCCTTCTTCCTTCTAGCCCAGGTTCTCAAGTCCAGTTGTACCTTAGAAATACCTGAGGAGATTTCCAAAATTCGAAAAGCCTGAGCCCCACCCAGGCCAATTAAATCAGAACCTTTGGCAGAGAGCCAGGATAGGGATAGTTTATAAAAGCTTACAGGTGCATCCAGGGTTTGAGAGCCAGTTCACTGGGCTAACTTCCACATCTCAAGCACAAGGGTAATTTGGGGAACAACAGTGGCTTTTAGGAAAAGCACTCACCACTATTATGGAGAAGGGCAAAGACTATAAAAAAAAATAAAACACACACAAAAAAAAACACCAAAAAAAACTGTGTGCTGGTCCATGGAAAAACTGGAATTTGGGTCAAAAGACAGCCAGATCCAGACCCAACACATCAGCGCTGGCAGCAAGTGCTATAATAATACAGGGAAAATTCTTTCCCCTGCCCAGGTTAAGTCTCCACTCCTATATGTTGCATGAGTTCTTTCTATGCAGAAAGGATTACCCTAGTCCCTATTTTCATATGGGCCTACTGTGACTGTGTTGTTAATGTTAGGGGTTTGTTTTTTCATTAGAAAAGTATCCAGAAATGTGTAATCTAACATTTTTATTCCCACATTATATATATATATCTTTTTTTTAATCTCTGAAATTTCTTTCAGACCTGGATTATTTTGTGAGTTAAACTCAAACATCAGTCTTAATTATAGGTATTAAATGTTGAAGAAATAAATATAAGAAAAAATAAATATAACAAGTAAAATACTCTTCACATTTGTTTTATAGGATGTTTAATTTACAACTCCTATTCTCTCATTGTTGCAACTGCTGATATTTACAATATAACTAAGGTCTCAGCATTTATTAACCTTTCTTTAAACTTAAAGTAAGTGACCCATTGTTTTATGCACCATAACTCACTTATGAGAAAAATCCTAAAATTGCCCTTGATTTATATGACTAAAAATATTTTTGATGTGAAATTATTCTTTATATGTTTGCAGTATATTTCAGATGAAGATGTAGGGTTTTTTTGCCACTATTCTGAACTTCTCCCATCTGCCTTGATAAAAATACAAGTTATAGATTCAAGAATCTCCATAGGAATTCTTTAACTCTGTATCAACAGACAAAGAAATCATTCTTGAAATACATCTGATGACATGATAGACTGGTAAAGTCAAATCTCTCCAGAAGCAAAAATTAACTATGATTACTTGATGTAAGACATCACTCAAACCAATCAAATGTTATTTTGGGAAATCATAAATTTATATCCAGCGTCAGTTTGTCACTCATTAAGTTCTTATAAGAATGATTAGGAAATTATCTTAATAAGTAAACGTTAGTCTTAACCTCTTCTTAGTTTGATGGCTTAAAAATATAAGTTTATATTCATCCATTGAGTCTCACTAAAAGTCTCCGCCTGCTTGGAGAGTTATTTATTCTAGTATTAATAAAATTTATCCAAGATGGAAGAGGAAATTCTTGCATTGCTTCATTCAGCAACAAATCTGCCTATGACATGTTAGCAAAGCCTTCAAAATATGGTTTCATAGTTAATCTTCGTAAATATTGACCAGGTACCTACTCTTTTCCAGGCACTGTGTGAGCTGCTGGGAATATATGAAAATCTCATTATCTAAGTGTTCCCATACACAAAACCCTGGGAGCAGATTGCAGTCTTGCCAAGGTGTCGTTTTAGTGACTGACATGGATCACCACCTCCAGCAGTCAATAGTGACAGCAGGCAAAGCTGCTTAACAGGGAGTTACTGATCCTGCAGCTGTATTTTGCTTGTCGTTCCTTTGAAAGATGCTTACTTTGAAGATCTTGATCGTGTGGAAGAGAGGAAGCACGAAATAACCTATAAATCAAGGAACAGAGGGTTTTAGAGCCACAAGTAAATCACCTTGCCAGTAACTCAGAGAGATCACAGAGGAGGTAAACGCAGTGAAGAAAATACAAAAAAAATTCCGTGAACCTTGTGATAAAGGAGTCAATTTCTTTTCCAATAAACATTTTTTAAAGTACTGCAGCAAGAATAGAACTGAAGAGTCTCCCTCCCGCCCACCCTTGCAGAAGGGAAAAAAGATCTAAACAAGGGAACCTCTCCAGGCTCTTTAAGATACCACAAGGAGGGGCGCCTGGGTGGCGCAGTGGGTTAAGCGTCCGACTTCAGCCAGGTCAGGATCTCGCAGTCTGTGAGTTCGGCCCCGCGTCAGGCTCTGGGCTGACGGCTCAGAGCCTGGAGCCTGTTTCCGATTCTGTGTCTCCCTCTCTCTCTGCCCCTCCCCCGTTCATGCTCTGTCTCTCTCTGTCCCAAAAATAAATAAACGTTTAAAAAAAAAATAAAAAGATACCACAAGGAATAGTTCTAGTAACCTCTACCTTTTAATGAAAAGTATGCACTCCTTAGATTTGCTTCCAAATTGCTATCAGTACTCTTTTCCATCCTTATTGAACCTAAAGAAAAACAAATTTCAGATACATTATTGATCATTTATCAATCCCTGAAACTGATAATAATAAACTTTCTTAGGTTGACTATTAGGCCTTGTTCCTCAGGGTTATGAAGAATGTGTTTACGTGGCTCTGGGTTTTACATCTGCAGAGATTTCCTAATTTGCCATAAAAATCATGTAACAAAATGGTGATATAGTTTACATTTCATCCAATTTATTATATTTTAAATACTTTCTACATGGATAAAATGAAGAAACATGATCGTAGAAATTGTCTACAGATAGGAGCATGGTTGATGTCTTTTAATTTGGCCTAATCCACCTAAATTATAATTAAATCTCACTTAATTGGACTTTATTAATTTTAAATGTGACAAATCTACATGACATTTGGCTAAAGTTGGTCTGTGAAATTAGATGTAGATTCGAATACCAGTTTACCACTTCATTAAAAATTGGTTACACTCATTCTATGACTTGTCTGGAAAATGGGGATAGTCTGTCATTTATTTTTACTTATTCTAATCACCCATACTGTTAACACCCTATTGCAGTCCACAAACGTCTGGTGCACAAGACAATGCAAAAGCCTCCAATTAGAGCCTTCCATCTCCATTCTTACCCACCCACCTCCTCAAAAATATAGGCTATTATTTACACAGCATTCATAGTGATATCAAAAATCTAAGTCAGAGAATATTACCCCTTTGCTTGAAACTCTGTAATGACTTCTCATTTTACTCAGTAAAATCCAAACTCCTTCCCATGGCTGACAAGGCCTACCTGAATTTCCCACCTACACCACTTCTCTAATCTCATTTTTCCCCAACTTATTGAGATATGACTGACAAATATTGTACATATTTAAGATGTACAATGTGATGTTTTCATATAGATATACATTTTGAGGTGATTACATTTTGAAATGATTAATGAAGCTAATTTAAAAATCCATCACCTCACACAGTTACCTCTTTTCTTCTTGTGTATGTGTATGTGATAAGCATGTAAGATCTATTTTTTTAGCAAGCTTCAAGTACACAATACATTATTATTAACTATAGTCACTATGCTGTACAAAGATCTCCAGAACTTACTCATACTTACATCTGAAAGTTTATACCCTTTGACCAACATCTTCCCTACCTGCAGTCCCTGGTAACAACAATTCTGCCCTGAGTTATACTTTTTTAGATCATTTCACTTAGATTAATGTTTTCTAGTTTCATCCGTATTGTCACTAATGACAGGTTTCCCTTTTTTATTAAGGGTGAATAATTTCCCAGTGTATGTGCGTGCATGTATGTCTGTCTCCTATATATATTATATATATATATATATATATATATATAAAATATATGTATATATATAATATAATATGTATATGTCAGTTTCATTTGAGGTCTAAGATGTTCCTAAACATGCTATCTTGCCCTTAATGCCCCTAATAAATTGGTTAATTAAATAAGAAGTGGTATAAAAATTCTACTAATTCAGTGTTAAGAGTTATAAACTTAAAAATCACAAAAACTGGGCGTGGTGATTTTAAAATATGGCCACAAATTCTTTGACATTTCTCACGTTGGGTGGATCTACCTCTCTCTACTTGAATCTGAGCAAATTTGTGACTTTTACTTAAGAAGCTAGGTCAGAATAGGTCATGCAGCTGCCACCTCATTCTCTAGGAAAATTCACCATTGGATAAGCCAAGCACCATGCAAAAAGTTTGACCACTCCAAGATCTCTGTGGTGAAGAGGACATGTGTAGGTGCTCTCATCAACAGCTCCAGCTAAGTTTGCAGCTGATGGACAGCATCAACTGTCAGGCATCTTGGATGGCCTGGCCACCAGATGGCCAAGGTCCTGGCTGACATCTAACAAAAACCACATAAAAAAAAAAAAAAAAACAAAACAAAACAGGGAAAACTGTCCAGTCACGCCCTTCCTAAATCTCTGACCCACAAAATTAAGAGTAAGAGCAAACAGTGGTTGTGTTACATTTTTAAGTTTGGAATCAATTTACTACAAGGTAACAGAGAATCATATACTAGGAAATGTCAAAATTGAGTATTATTATTCTGATTATTCTGATTCTACTTGCCATGTGGTAAGAAAATGATTCATATAAAATTTAGCCAAGTGTAAACATTGACTTTGATTCACATAACAGGATAGAAAAATATTAAAACTGGAAAGTATTGTTGATTTTGTTCTCCTGAAAATGGAGCCCACGGAGGTTGTGGCTTATGAGGAGAGCAGGTGCTCAAAACACGGGACTGCAGACTAAGTCCAGTCCACCTCCTCTTTTGTATAAAATAAAATAAATATGGCCCACAGGACCTCAAGTACTTACTATCTCACCCTTTACCAAAGAAATTTGCCAAGACCTGAGTTAGAGAATGGCAAAACTGAAATGGGAACAAAAGTCCTCTGATAGGCAAATATCCTTTTTCCATTATGCTGCCTGACAAGAATAAAATTTTTCATTAACATCAGCATATTTTAATGAGCTTATTTCATGATCCTATGAGTTTAATTTATACCAGTACATCTTAAATTTTGTAAGGACTTTTTGTTTTGGGGGGAGACTGTTGTTTTCGTTCTTTTTGTTTTAGTTTTGCTCTTGAAAAGAGAGGTGTTAGTCACAAGATGGTTAATATATATTATTAAAGGTTTTCTATGATACCATCAGTGAGGAAAAGAGAAGAAAACTGATAGATTAGCAAGCTTTTTCTCTAAGGGTCGGAATATCTTTTGCTTTGCAAACCAAACAATGTGTATCACAAATACTCTACTCTGCTGTTTAACACAAAAGCAGCCATAGATAAGCCTTAAATAAATGGGCATGGCTGTGTCCAGACTTCATCTGCAAAAACAAGTGGTGGGCTACAGTTAGCCTGCAGTCCTAGTTTGCCAACCCCTGTCTCAGATAATCTGAGACATATAAATGTGCGTGAATGTGCTGCTGCTGCTTAGTAAGACTGTAGTTACGAATTCTACCCAGAGAAGTAGGGGAACATCAAACATGAGGTTCATGTAATAACAATATTTGCCAGTGTATTCAACATGTTTTGCTCCCTATACATTATTTTTTTTTTATTTTAGAGAGACAGAGAGCACATGTGCAAGCAGGGGGGAGGGGCAGAGAGAAAGAGAATCTTAAGCAGGCTCCACACTCAGCGCAGAGCCCAATGCAAGGCTAGATCCCACAACCCTGGGATCATGACCTGAGCCAAAATCGAGAGCCTTACACTCAACCAACTGAGCCACTCAGACACCCCTTGTTCCCTATACTTTAAAATAATACTTAATATCCAGTCTGAGCCTACTGCAGAATTAGAGTTGAGTTAGTTAAATTTCAGTTAAGTTAAATTTCAGTCTTTATTATTACAGCTTGAAAGTCTTACCTTTTTACAGTTAATTTATTTCTCCAAGAAATAAAAAGAGACCATTCTAGATGTCAAAAGCCCACTAAAACAGCTGCATCCCAGCCTTAGAATCCTAAAATGGGGTCTGTTTTCACTCCATTGCCAAACTTTCCTGAACACAGTATTTTCAGACTGTATGAGATTTTTCCTCCTGGTTTGCAGAACCCTTGAAGTTCTCTCAATACTGGGGAGAAAGAAAGGCTTATTCTTACCAGTTAGAAGAAGACAATTCCACTTGCAGATGGAAAGAATTTCTATCCTCCATAGGGCTTTACACCACCATAAATTTCCTGGACATGCTGTCACCTATATAAAAAGGACCAATGCCACCTAACTATGAACCTCCCTGGGATAAAGTGGATAAGGTGAGGAAGACAGTAACCCAGCTACCATTGCACTAAGTTGAAGGTGATATTAAAGTAGACTTTTAGAGGGGAAAAGTATCCTTTATTTTTCTGCTTGAGGTAAATGCCTACTTGAACAAAAATAACAAAATTTTTTCCAGTGCTAAAAGCAAATAAGTGGATTTTCCAGAGCTTTAAAAAGAAAAAGAGTATTTCCTTTGTGCCTAAGATATATGTAGATTTCAGAAAGATTTTAAAAATGCATTGATAAGGTAAGCAACTAACCAACAACAAATTCATAGTAATGTTAATTACATAAATATATGTGTGTATATTAATAATAATTATGAAAAGTAAAATGCAAATATTATAATATTACTTTCAACCATTTCAATTTAAAGAATAGGAAATTTTGAAGTGAATTTTGCTTTGAAAACTCATAGAATTATCCCCACATATGAAAAATCTAAAATCGCTGTAAAGTGTAAAAATTATCCTTTTTTCCACCTACAGGCAAGTCAAAATTGCTGTGCAAATTTTCTTCAAACTTTTTGAATAGGAATTATCCAGAAAGAAAATCTCTGAAGCTACACACTAAAAACTCAGAGACAGAAGAAAACTCTTCTCAGTGCCTGCATCTACAGAGCACAGGCAAAACCACCCACCCCTCTCTGCGTGTGCACCCATGTACATGCTCACACACACGTGCACGCACACACACACACATACTCTACACACACACACATACACACACACACACTCTCTCTCTCTCTCTATAGTGTATATGATTAACTGATTCAACACAGTTTTATCGAGTGTCGTGTACACTAATTTGTGTATGATGCACGTGTACAAATTTGTGTATATTATGTGAATATAACCTCATGTGTGAATATATCTGTGAAAGCAAAGCCAAGAGCAAGGCCTAAGGGCAAAGAGGACATACGCAGGTAAGATGACCCCCAGCCACCTAAGAGCACCAGCAACTATTCTCTGAAGCAGGTTATACATGCACCTTTCCTCTCTACATCTTTCAATTCAACATTTTAAAGTGAAATTATTTTTAAATGTTTCTGAAGTTACATGGAAGACTGCTTAAACTTGTGATTTTTTGAGTTGCAATTTATAAGGTAACCGTACCACTGTTTTCAGTACTAAAGTAAGAGAAAGAAGGCTGGCCATTCACTTTTCTCCTTTAACTCTGGCAAACTTCTATTTCAACAGCCTTT